TCTGAACTGCTGCTCATTCTTTGTTCCCGACATTGTAAACCTTTCAGGAAGGGATTATGTTTTGTAAAGCACCGAGTACATTTATGAAGCTACATAAATAATAGGACCATCCCTAGCACATGAATTATGCACTGTTAGACAGCTGCTACACACTCCAGAGCTGGTGAGATTTTAGTAGTACGTGAAGTGATTCAAACATTATACTGAAGTCCTTATTCAGTGGCAGATTGTGCCTGGCTCATTTGTTATCAGAGGGAGAGGTGGAAGGAGCTTCTCTCTCTTTGGGGGCCTCCTCGGGCGAGGCACATTTCAGAGATAGTGACATTTCATACACTACATGCCAAATTCTTGGCTGGTATAAACTGTATCCATGTTAATCAGCAACAGTGGGATCTGGCCAGCCAGGGCAGACAAGTGGCTCCCTACACAATCGGTGGTGAGCACCAAACCTGAGTAGCGCTGGGACTCCATGTGTCAGGTTGCAAAGCCTCTCACTCACATTTGGCTCAGCTAACCGTCCATTTTGGGGGCCCTTTCAAGTGGGGGGAACACTGGAGCAAACTGCCCCTTTTGCCCCCATCTGGGCACCCTAAACGTACACTAACAAATATCCCATGCTCCTAGGTATGAGGAGGAAGAGAGTTGGCATCAAACTGTGTTAACTAAAAATAAATGCTTACTCTCATCCCAACAAAATAGCAGCAATAATTAATCAATATTCAGCACATCTACAGTACCTTTCATCCAAAGATCACAAAATTCTTTACAAAGGAAGTAGTAACTCCCGTTTTACAGGAAGGGAAACTGAGTCACCGAGATTAAGTGGTTTGCCCAACCCCACACAGCGTGGCAAAAATGTAATACTGTTTCAAATTAGCCATTTGTAAGAATACGGGTCTAAACCCCTGAGTCTGTACAGCAAGACACTGTAATTTTTGTCAGCAGTAGAACTACTTCGCACTGTCTTTGTGCTCACTGTTCAGGTTCCTATAGAGCCTGTATGTGAGTGGGGCCCCATGTGCGAGACTGTGGTCAACTGTCTCTCTCCTGTAATTTCCTCACTAAGTTTGAGTCCTGAGTCACTGAGCTTTGTTCTAAAAATCAAAAGGCTGTTCCTTCTGTTTATACATTCTGGGAGCAGAGTGATTTCGGACAAGTAATAAAACACCATAACACTCATGGAAAATAAATGCTGAGCCCCATCTCCCCACTCTTCTGCTCCTGCAATTTTCTCAGATGCAGTCACCAGTCTGGCCTAAGGCTTGTTTACCCACTTCCAAAACTCTTGGTCTGACAGCTAATGATGATTAATCACATTCAGAGCATGATCTTTTGTTTCTCCTGCTCTGTAGACATCCATTAGAATCACAAGAGATTAATTATCACATCAGCTTGATTCAGAAATGTGGATTCTCTCTGTAGACTCATTCCCCATCAGGCATCTTATCAGCACATTCAGAAACTACTGCCATCCTCAGACAAATTAAATGATTTCTCCCATTCATTCCACAGCATCCAATGTAAAACTGCCCACCTTGTGTTTCAACACATCAATAGTTTTGCTCTACTTAATGCACCTGAAGTCTTTTCCCTCCTGTCCCCACCCTCTCCGCTTTGTCAAACACCAGCCTACTTTCTGTCTTTTCACAGTTTCACCATTGTGGGTATGAGAGCCTTCTCCTCTGGAGCACAAACCATCTACAGCAGCCTGCCTGTCACTCCATTTCTGTTCAATTGCATCGGAGAAGGGACCCTTACTCCCTTGCCTATATCTATCTTTGTCTACTAATTATTTTGCACTCAAATCCACTGCTTTACCCCGTGGCTTTTCTGTGGGTGCTTAGCACCTACCAGCAGCCATCCCCCCCCCCCCAGCGCCTTCCGTTCACCGTGAAACAGCTGTTCCCCGGCTTGCTGCAGGTACTGAGAGGGAGGGGAAGGAGCGGAGATGGGGCGCACTTGGAGGAGGGGACGAAACTGGGCAGGAAGAGGTGGAGCGGACCATTATTTCTTATGGGAAAAAATTCCCCAGTGTCCGTCGTTTCGGTATCCATTGCCCTTTTCAAGAATGCAACCCCAACATATACCGGGGACCCCCGTACCACTTTAACTGTACAGATATTGTTATACTGGTACAATCCCCTTCTGTGGATGCATTTACATCCATGTAGAGGTGTCTTATAGGGTATCACTCTTCCTGTATGTGAAGGGGAATAAGCTGTACTTGTTTAAGGCACCTTTATACTGTTGTGGGTCCTCACTAGGGGGGTTGTACCAGTATAACTTCTTTTTTGTCTGCTTTTTTTAAAAACTCACACCCCTAACCAAGAGGGTTTTGTGCTGGTTTAACTGTGTTTAGATCAGGCCCAACAATCTAAGGGGAAGATCAAGAGATCAATCAGAAGAGAGGGACCTGGGGGAGCATCTCTATGGAAGATTGGGGAAGGTGGTCAAACGCTCTGGAGGGGTCTGTTTATCAACTGGCCTGAAATGTTGGTGGATCCAGGCCCCATTTAGGAGTCAAAAGACAGCACAAATCTGCATTGTCCCAAAGGGAAGCACTGGGAAGCCTCATGACAAGGACAAACTGCAGTTATGTGACAATGTACAGCATGGGGAGGCTTCTTCTACCTGCCGGTCCCCTGATATCCGTGAAGCAGCCACGAACACCTTACTAGTTTTCTACTCCCAGACAATGACTGCAGACTCTCTGACTGCAGCCCCCCTTCTACTACAGACTTCCTCTCTTTATACTAACCAGCCTCTTCTTGCCCAGCGGGGCTTCATGATCAGCTAAGCCTGGCTCTCCTTCCAGGTGCAGCCAGATGACATAACTGGTCTCTCAGGCCCACATTTACCCATTCAGGGCCTCTTTAGGGTACACACCCCATCACAGAACACCAACAGTGCCTGAAGTCTGACACAGCAGCATAGCGGTTGTCACTGACCAAAGCCTCCCAAAGTGTAGTACTTTTCTAGTGTCTCCCAGAGAACTATTGATTTAAGCTTTCAGCCAGCCTTGCTTTTAATACACTTAGAAGTTTTAATCAATTTGACTGTCTCTTGTTGTCATACAAAACAACTGAAGGAACAAAGCTTGAGATCTGGTCCACAAAAACAAATCTTAGGAGCCACACGAAGCAGAGCAGTTCTATATGTGCGGCTGGACAGTGTTGGGAAATGAATCATTTCATTTAAAAGGGTCTACTAGCAAGCTTCAAACACCCTATGAAAGAGGTGATGGATACAAACAGAATAGATTAATATCAGTCCATGTTTGAAGATTCTCAGTGAGGATTTTCAGAGGACTAGAAATGCTTGTGGAGGGGGAAAAAAATGTAATAAAACCAATTTTACCCTGACAGGCAGGCAAGCTAGAACAGTGGGTTCTTTTTCAGATTGACTGCTCTTCTTGCCTTGCCTTGCCTTTCACTGACCACTTATACCCCAGATCCTCAGCTTGGAGGAGCCTCATCAATGCAATGCTGGAGTAACGGATGCTGAAGAGAGTTTAAAAAATAATCATTAGTGTTTGCACATCTGCCCACTATTACTTTAAAAAACTCAAATACTTTGCAAGAGATGGAGGATATTTTCTACACTAAGCTCTAAATTCTGACTCAGATGTGATGCCCACACAGGAGAGCAGAGGGGAATAAACCCCAATAACCTTTATTCCCCTGCCTGGATTGGGTGCATAAAGGTCAGGGGCACTGGGTTACCCTACTTCCGCAGTTGGTGAGCAGGGAAAGGTGGGGAATGGATGGAACCTTGACTCTGCTTTCCCCTACTACACCCAACAGAGCTGAGCCCTGAGCTGCACACTAGGTAGAGGCCAGAAATAAATTACTACCCGCCCTGGAGCCACAATTCCTCCCCTGCACTGTGTTACATGGGGTATGCCAATGGGACACAATCTAGTCTTGCATTTGAAGAACGTTTTTTAACTATCCTCACTAAAATCATTTTGCACATTTCCCCGGGAAATTCTAGACTGGTAATGTATTAAACGCCTCTCCCCAATGTGTACGGGAGTTTGGTCATCTCAGGTACAAACTTTGGTGTGTACAGTCTAGTCCTGCTTTTCACACTGACTTGAGGTGTGATCTTGGCCAAATCTCCACAGGCCAGGTTTTTAAAGATATTTAGGTGCCTAAAGATATAGATAGGCACTTAGTGGGATTTTCAAAAGCACAGGGGGAATTAGGTGCATAGGCTCGCTTGCATAACCCACTAGATACCTATCTGCATCTCTAGGCACCTAGCTACATTTAAAAATTTGACTTAGGCATCTAATCCTATTGACTTTCAATAATGCTTAGGGTTTGAACACCTATGCCACTCTTGAAAATTGAATTTAGTCTCCTAAGTGACTTGGGCACTTGTGATGATTTTCCCCCAAATACTTTTGCAACACGTTTCATCCAGCTCGACCAAAATGAAAATAGCAAACTGGAGGATACACTTCTTTAAAGCACCCGGCCTCCATAACTCTAAAACAGAGTATATTTTTATAAAGTAACAAAAAGTTAAGAATACAAAATGCGAATGACTATAACCATTTCAATGCAGTTCACCTTCTCCATTAGACTCTCCTGGGGAACGGGGTGTGAAGATTGAGTGTTAAAAGCATGAGGTATGTTTATTAGGCCATGATGGGGTTAGGAATCGGAGATATCAGATACAGGCTCATAGGCAAGGTGCTTCTAGTGACAGTAGCTTCAGTAGGTTTGCAACATATAAGCTTCATCCCCATTCACCATTTTGCACGAAATCAGGAACTACCTGCAAATGTGTGTGCACATGCTGCCAATTTTGTTTTGTTTTGAGGACTTCATACAGATCTTCCATTGACAATGTCTATATTATCTGTGACCAAAAAAGACTGAGTACATTCCTCTCACGTATCATTCAAAGGTAGCCTATATGGAGAGCAGAGGGGATGCAGGCAAATGTTCAAGGAGATGTGACTAGAATAAGCTTTTCCTGAAGTCCTGTAATCACAAGTAATAATTTATTCTTTTTTCTCCTAAGACTCAGAAATCATATTTTAAAGTGCCTGCCACAGACTGTCAGCAGCAGCATTTCAAGAAGCAGTTCTGCCTTTATCAACATTCAACAGCATTGTAGTTCAGTAATTATTAATATAACATTAAAAAACACTCTTACCTTTCTAGATAACAAAGTGTTCAGTCTTTAATTCATTTTGTCTTTATTGCCATAACATGATCAGCATGAAGTAATTTAATATGTCAATTTCCGTGGAACTTCTAGTAGAATTCAGTCGCAGCTCAGAAAACCACCATCTGCTGTCTGATTGGGTACCACATTCTAGTTCTCTGGAGCTCTTCTTCACTGTACCTAGTGGGTCATCTTTTGATGTTACCTCATGTGTCTGTTTTAAAATAAAAATCAAGAAAACATTTCTGTAAAAGCCACACAGTGCATTCTCCATTGCCTGACAGGTTTTATTTTATTTTTTTTATACCAGGCTTTGTCTCAGAATGAAGAAGAAACAAAGGTTAAAATTACAGTTTTTAACCTTTGAAAAGAACAAACAAACTTTTAGGGCAACCAGCTGCCCTATTAGTGAGGTAATATCTTTGATTGGGCCAACTTCTGTTGGTGGGAGAGACAAGGTTTCTTAAGCTTGGCTCTCACCAGCAGAAATTGGTCTAATCAAAGATATTACCTCACCCACTTCATCTCTCTGAAACCAAATAAATCTATTACATGCGCGTCACGTTTGTCTAAGCCAACACTTCTCATACAAACAGTGATGTTAAACAGTTTACTGTGCCTTCAGTTCACTTCACCCCCTGTTGTCTGATACTGCATACAGACATGTGACATCCGATGAAGTGAGCTGTAGCTCACAAAAGCTTATGCTCAAATAAATTGGTTAGTCGCTAAGGTGCCACAAGTCCTCCTTTTCTTTTTTTGCGAATACAGACTAACACGGCTGCTACTCAGACTTCAGTACACTAGCTCTCCCGTGGGATGGGGTGCTGGACAAGGAACTTCACTATGATCAAATGACACTTCTGTTCAACTACATGTCACAGTCCCTTCACTACAGCTATTTTGAAAAAACAAACAAAAACAAACAAACCGTTTACCATTTAAAAAGCCTTATTACCATTGAATTGCAAAAAGAAAAGGAGTACTAGTGGCACCTTAGAGACTAACCAATTTATTTGAGCATAAGCTTTTGTGAAGTGAGCTGTAGCTCACAAAAGCTTATGCTCAAATAAATTGGTTAGTCTCTAAGGTGCCACTAGTACTCCTTTTCTTTTTGCGAATACAGACTAACACGGCTACTACTCTGAAACCTGAAATTACCACTGAATTGGAATTCCATCAATTTACTTTTAACTAGCAAAAAAATGAAAGGAACAGATAATGTTGGCTATGTACAGACCAAGTGCCATAGAAAAATGTAAATATTTCCATGGTCTCACTTGCTTAAAAAGAAAAGAATGTTACACACCCACAGCAAATCAGATATAATGAGAGGCAGAAAACCAAAGTGTTTCTTTAGCTCGGGAATGGAATCTTGTGTATTGTTAAGCCAGAGCCATTCAGTAAATTCTAAGAAATGGCATTAAAAGTCAACAGGACACAAATAAATATGAATTCCATAGCACACACAAAGCAGCAGCTTCACACAAAGCACAGTCTCTGTGCAGATTAAGGGCCAGATTTTCAGTTATTTAGGCACCTAAAGATGTAGATGTTCCCTAGTGGGATTTTCAAAAGCCCCTAAGCAGTTCAGGCATCTAAATGCCTTTGAAAATCTCACACTAAATCCCCATCTTTGAAGCTGTGTGTGCACAGCTCTGTTCTGTTGGAACCTCATCTCTAGTTTGGTCTAATCTATTCACTCTTCCAACTGTGCCTAGCTTTGTCTTCCACACTTCCCGGAGTGCAAATACTACGAATGCCTCCCTGTAGATGTGGTCCATTTCCCCGCTTGTGTCCTACCGTTGCCAATTCCACTTGCCATGTTGCTCCCTTGGACTCTTATTTCCAAAAGAGTGATTCTACCTTTTCTCATCACACCTTGGAACATCTTCCTTGACCCTGCAATGCAATCACAGCAGCAGCTGAGCAGTGTTACCGACTCAGCTATTGTGACTCGGTGACTTTGAACCTAAGTCATCAAAGAAGAACGTATCTTAGACGGGTGAGGGTTCATAGAGCACACAAGCCTGAGGAGAGGTCTTAAGAATCAGTTTCCCCATTGTTTTAGCCATGTAACTGCATATGCAGCTGTGGTAATTTTGCATGCATTTGATTAGCTGTGACCATTTGCTGATGCAAATACCAGATCTGCGCTCACAGTTGCACATGCCTCTACATTATGGAAATTTGGCCTTTAATACACAGTTCAGTTTCTTTTTAAACTATGCATTTGTCTTGATTGTTTGAACCAACAGTGGAAGAGCCAAAGGAGAAATAATTTGGCCTGGGACTTGGGATCAAGACACTTATGTGGAGGCAATTGGGGTCTGATCCACAATTATTCTTCCTGATCTCAATTCTCATTCTTAAATCACTTTTATGTTAATTTGTGTGTGTGGTAAATTTGGTGCTCATGAAGTTAAGGACAGATTGCAATGGCTAAAGCCAGCCATAGTGTGCCAGCACACAACCAGCTTTTGAACAACGCTCTCCCAATGTATCTCAGGCCTGATCTGCAATATTTTGTTATCCAAATACTAAACCTTTCCTGTAACTTCCACTAATGACAAATAATAAACTGGGATTCAGACTGTTGTATTGTGAGTGGATCACACATGAACATATAATCAAGGACTTTTACCACATCACAACTACATTATGAGTCATGCTTCACCACATCTGATCTTTCTCCCCATTTCAAGCTTCATGTGCATGGCCCATTGTATATCCATTTAAAACCACCGGAGGTGCCAGAATACCTAATAGCGGTGGTTGATGAGCACACTGTAGAGCTTGGGGGTATGGGGTTGTGCTAAAATGGCCTCTGTGCCCCTCCACCTGCAATTCTGGGCCATCTATATGCTGGTCCAGTACCTAAATGTAACTTAGAGCAGACTAGAGGCTGCTCTATATTACTGCAGCTGCTAACAGCTCCAAAGGGCTATTCAACAGCTGGAGATCACTGGGGTACAGGGACAACATGGCCAGATCCCCTGCGCTAATCACAGGAGACTGGGGTTGGTGTAGGAGCCAGTCTGGAAGATGTATGGCACCTGAGGCTCCTCCTGTGCTCCATCTATCCCAGCTTTATCATTGGCTTGCACTGGTGGTAAATTGTGAAACAGTCAAATACAGTGCAAAGTCTGGCGTGTTATGCTCAGAAAGTCCTGCTGGTCACACAGAAAGACAGTCCTGAGTGGGGTCAGGCTCAACACAGAAAAAACACAGTTTTCGTTTTGAAAGCCAGCTCTTCTGATCCTCCCGCTGACCTCAGTCCGTTTCAAAACAGCCAGGAGAATGTTGGCAGCTGTTCCCTCTATCCAGAGAGGAATTTAAAACTGCTCAGCAGGGCCACACAAAATTACCCTCCATCAATAACTCAGAGTCAGTCCTGTTGCCATCCACACACAGAACTCCCACTGACTGCCAGGAGAGCCCCATGCAGGAGGGCTGCAGGTTTGTGCTCGTAGCGTTCCATGATGGAAAGATATCAGCTTAACTCAGACATGTCTTCACATCCAAATTTACCAAATACATTGACATGTTTATCGAAGCATACTCCACCAACTGCTGCTGTTTACAGGCACGCAAAGAAACTCTTTCAAAAATATACTTAATAAAGACACTTATTGGCAAAACATGCAGCCCATGCCTGTTAACTCCTGACTAACAGAAAACCACTTCTGTACCAAAAATCCCACACTTCAGCTGTAAGAACATGAGCAGCAATCCAGCACCACCATCAGTCCACAAAGCCAAAGGCAGCGTAGATGATTTTTTCCATGCTGTACCTTTTGTGGCAAAGTTCAGCTGAACTTTAAAAACTATTATTTTATACACTCTTTTCTCTTCAGGAATTGAAGCCCCAGCCACGCACAGCCTGTATCACAGGAATAATCTTTTCACTTTGATGGATGTCCCTGACATCACCATAAACCAGGATTTAACACCACTGAAGTCAATGTGTTTTATACCAGTGTAAGCAAGCCCAGAATCAGGCCTGATGGGACTGCACACAAGGGTAAGCCTTCATCATGCAAGTAGGGCTTTGCAGGATCAAGCCCCCATTTTAATAATCGTTTTATTATTTTAATTAAAACATTTTCATGTTTTCAATGATGAACACGTTCACATTTAACTCCAAAGACTGACTCATGCTGGTCTAAAAATGTTCATGGTTTTATCATCTGGCTTTTTAACAATTTGAGGCTGTTTCTTCAAATATAAGTTACAGATTTTTTTAAAAAAAATTAGGTATCAAGTTATTTCTCTCTCTCAGGATTATTTTTTAATATTGCACATTTTTCTTTATGCAGAGGTCAGAAGAGCAAGTTACTTGGAAGTCGCAGAGTCCCAGTTCCTATTCAAGGACTCCATTTCCAATAACTGCCTAGAGCTAGAAACTCTGTGGGTTATTTGAATCCCTAGTGCGACTGCATTGCCTTTATTGGAGTTACACCAGGGCGAGTTCAGTCCTATCTTTATATAAGAATATGCTATGCTTGGCCACTGTTATAACCCTCATCCTCCCACCCCCGTTTCTTTGTCTATTGTCATCAATCACTGTGTTGTGTGTAATAATGGCCTGATCCTTCTCCCTTTGATGTCAGAGAGAGTTTTGCCTTCAAAAAGAGCAGAACTGGAGCCTTAAAGCCCCAACCTTGCAAAGACATCCACGTGTGTTTAAAGAAACCCACATACCCAATTCTTTGCAGGACCAAGGCCTCAGATGGTAAGCTCCTGGAGTGAGGCACCACCATGTTTTTAACTGTTTGCAAAGCACCATGTACACGTGTGGCACTGAATAACGAACAGTAATGCTTGTGCAACTACCTCCCCTTTCTCCCTTGCTATCTTAAGCAGTTGTCTTGGCTCTCTAGTTAAGAATTCAGATTTGTCTGGCTTCTTTATCCCAGACTTTTTTTGGGGCAGATTTACATGTGCCAGAATTATAGCGGCGTTTAGAAGCTCATCAGCATGAGCCTCATGAAAGATTCCCCAGCTGCACAACCTCCTCACATTTTCATTTAGATGTTACACTGACTTGTTCTCTTCCTCTTGCTAGTCATTCCTTCATTTATAGTTTTACATGAACCATATTTACAGTGTACATAGGACTTGTGAAACATTTTAAATGTGGCTTACGGCACAACTGCCTTGTGCTGAAAACCTGCTAGATCACACAAGTTAAGCAAGATAGGCTGGCTTCAC